CCCTCTCACTTTAATATAGGAGCCCACCCCCGGGAAGCAAGGCAACCTAAATGACATTCAGATAAATCAAGGGAAAAAGGGTTAGCTGATGGCCACAAGATATGCGCTAAGGCGGCAAAGGTAGAACAGCACAGCTCAACATTTTTTGTAGAAGAAAAGGCCTAGTGCTGTTCTACCTTTGTCACCTTAGTGTGCATCTTGTGGCTATCAGCTGACCCTTTTTCTTTGAGTTTACATATTAAGCCACATCCCACATTTATACCATTCTTTGACATTCAGATAGTTATGATAGACACCCACAGACAGATAGTGAGACAAAGGATGGTGGAGCAAAAGTCAAGTAGTCAGATAGATATACAGTCAGCCACCCAGACACACAGACACACATTCAGACAGCCACGCATGCAGACAGTATAATCAGACATTAGACATACCAAGCAGAACGTTAAGCAGAAGCAATGAGAGATTGCTTAAGAAATATGGTCTTAGTAATCAGAAATAATCTTAATAATATGAATAATGTCAGTGTTGCTTACGGCATGATACTGAACTGAAATGCTGTGTTTTTCCACGCAGCCTACCATTTGTTCTGGACCCTGCCAACCCAACCAACAATGTATGCAGTGCTAGTAATGCCAAGGGATGGAAAATCGTGGCAGATGTGGCTAGAATGACACTTCAGAGGCTGGCTGAGCCACTGAAGGACATCGACTTCGATGAAAACTGGCAGGAGTGGTCGAGTAAGATGTTTACCTTTTTGTATTAACCAAAACAGGTAGAGAAGAATTCTGCTGTTTTTTTAAACAAGAAAAGCTGATAGGTTTTTACTTTTCAAAGTATTTTCATTGATATGATTGCGCCGAAATGACCACGCGTGCTACATAAATTAGCATACTTTTCCTCTAGAGACCCTCGTAATACCCGTGGGTATTGAGCAGAGTATTTATACGCCCTCCACACTTGAGATCGTTCTGTTACTGCACTCTAAGTACATCCAAAGGCTGATCACGGGAAAATAATGCCCTATTGCTTAGCTGGGCTTAGCCAATCAGAATAAGAAGGGATAATCAACTTTTTGTTCACTCATAATTATCTGTATCTACAATATGGTCCAGCTTTGAATCACTCCCTACCTAGAAAAAGCTCAAGGCACTTAACAGCTGCAGCTGAAAGGAAAGCATGGAAGCCCATTTCTCCAATATGAGAAATGGGTGATGATGCTGATGATGATTATCATGAATTTGCTCATTTTGAATAATACTTTTTTCGTCACAAGCAAGCAAATGGACAAAAAAAGAATCTTTTGTCGAAAAATTAAAAAAAAAAAAA